ACCCCCCCCCCCAAAAAAAAAAAAGATAAAAAAAAAAAAAAAATCAGTAGGGCTAGGTGGGCCAATTCACGGGTCGGGATCTGGGAATATATGTTGGTCAGGAAAGGAAAGTTATCTAGAGTCTAGACTGATAAGTTCGCCCAAATACAGCTATAATGACCGTATGTTCTGTTGGGGACAAGATGGGTGGCTGTCGAAAATGCAAACCAGACCCTAAGATTATCTCGGGGGTCCCTGAAGGGTCACATTTGCCGTGATTCTCTGTTAATAGAAAGGGCCAGAAACGTTGAACCTGCGCAGCTGGGGCCTCGTCCTAGATGGACTTCAGAGGGAATGATATACCGACTGCTGTCGACAACAGCCAGCAGCAGACTGTGGATTTTTTTTATTTTTTGTTTTAATTTTTTTGGGGGGGGAAATAGTAGGTGGTTTGTGCAGGTGATTGTGCTGTACAGAAACTAGGTGCAATGATGTCAAAGGATTTGTCGATTTTGTTTCTGTTTCCTTCTCCCTTCCTTCTCCATCCCCCAGCTTGTCTGTGTGTGTGTGTGTATGTGTGTGTGTGTATGTTTGTGTGTGTGTGTGTGTGTGTATGTGTGTCTATGTGTGTGTGTGTGTGTGTGTGTGTGTGTGTGTGATTGCATGCTTGTCATCAATGGCAGATCAAAACCGATCCGACTTTTTTTTGGTGGTAGAGTCTGGATGGAATTGGTGGTGATGAGAGTGAAGCGGTATCTAACAGGAAAGAAAAAAAAAAGAGCGTGAAGCGGTATCTGTTTATTTTTTGGTCGATTCTTGTGACCTCTGAAAGCTCATGGTCATGGGTTTGCATGTGCGGGTTATTCTGTCCTGTGCAGGAGTTCAAAGAGAGCCGTTCTGCGTTTGCGCTTTGTCAATGACAATGCCAAATGTGAAGTCACTGTGAAGTCCAAGGCTGTTGTGGCGAATGGTATTTCCCAAGCGCAAGAGGTGCACAACCCCCAAGCCCATTTCCAACACGCCTTGTTTTACCCATTAGGGCAACTACCCCTTCGTGGTCATTTATGGTGTAATCTTGTCCCCACACACGCTTTTTTTGTCCTTCTTCTCCCCTCTCCCTCTCCCYCCCCCCCCCCCCTTCTCCGTCCCTCCGTGACTTACTGCCATTCTTGTCAGGGTGTGGACCAACAGTCTGATAGCATTGCAGGGTTGGTACGACTGTAGCCGACCACTTTTCTCTCTTCCTTAGCAGTACTGCTATCTCTGGGCGACGTGGTGAGTCCTTATCTATCAGGCAACTGCATCCTGGGCAGACTGTCTGGTGGGCTTCAAACGGAGCTGCTGACGAGTTGGTGAGAGTCCAATGAAACGGTCCTGGCACAACCCATGCTTTACCCAAAAGATGCTAATTTAAATATATATATATATATATATATATCGTCAAATAGAATATATATATATATATATTGACGATATATATATATATATCCTGATGAGTCGGTGAAACTCCGACGAAACAGTTTGCCACAGCCCCTCGTTTGTTGTCCTCGTCTCCCTCTCTGCCTACGGTTTACCGGGCAGCTCTGTTTGACTATATATATTGATGTATTTATTTATTTATAATCTAGGCCACCTAGCACGTACATGTGGCGCCAGTCTGTTTTTGTTAATGGGTCCATCCTGTAGTATTTTCGGAATATAAAGGAGGATCGTGTAGAAGGCACACATGCATGCTGACATACACAACAAACACATATGCGCACAAACACGCACACATGCATGCATATGCATACACAGATGCGAACAGATGGATGCAAACACATACGCATGCATATATGCAGACACGTAAATGCCCATACATGTGAACGTGCACATGTCCACCGAGTTATGCACACCCATGCACACAGACCCATACGCATGTGCAATGACATGCACACACACCCTTGCACACGTGCACAGGCATGCATGCACACACACACAGGCATACATGCATATGCATGCACTCACGCACAGGCATGCATGCACACATGTGCAAACACATGCACAGGCACATGTACACATGCACATCTCCACCGACATGCATGTCCATGCACAGGTGCACAGACGTGCACACACACCCATGCACACGTGCACATTCATGTCCATGCACGTCCATGCACACGTGTACATGCATGTGTGCATGTCTGTGCACGTCTGCACACGTGTGCATGGACGTGCATGGTGTGCATGTCTGTGCATGTTGGTGGAGATGTGCATGTGTACATGTGCCTGTGCATGTGTTTGCGCACGTGTGCATGCATATGCATGCATGCCTGTGTACGTGTGCAAGGGTGTGTGTGCATGTCTGTGCATGTGTGCATGGGTCTGTGTGCATGGGTTTGCATAAATCCGTGGACGTGCATGTTTACATGTATGGGCATTTATGTGTCTGCATATATGCATGTGTATGTGTTTGCATCAAGTGCGCAGAGGTGCACACACACCCGTGCACACTTGCACACCCATGCTCACATGCAAAAAAAAAAACACATGCACAGACACATGCATGCAGGCGTCACAGAACGAGATGCAAGTGTCAAAGGAGGTATGTGTGACAACACAACATACAGTGGGTGATGTACCATGTGTATGTGGCTTTGTGGTTTGGGTCGATTTCTCAGGGGGAAAGAGGTACAAGGGGTATATTCTTGAAGCTGAACTCTTTGTGCACGAACGGAGAATAATGAACGAATTCCACTGAGTTTTGAATCAATGAGGACTTGCACTACTGTCAAGTATCAATGCCGACTTTTGGCTTTCGCAGTGTGTTGTTGTTTTTCGTTTTCGAACCTCTTTTTTTTTTTTTTTTTTTTTTTTTTGCGGGTAATGCATAATTTCTCATCGATGGTCATGAAGCACAAGCACACTGCATTGCCTACAGTTAGCACATTTGTCAGGTATTGCAGTCAGGAGTGGGCTTTGTAGCCCCAACTGAAACGGCTGTGATTGGTGGCAGCAGCCGTAACATCATCAGTCCTCATGGCAGCAGCTCTAATGACAGCAGTGCTATTTTTGGTAGTAGCAGCTGGAACAGGCCTGAACAGGTAGCAGGTTTTACCTGTGAAGGGTAAGAAACCCCCTCAGATTGTCTGAAGGTGTGGTAACCCAAAAAATACACCTTCCGTTATCTTCCCCCCCCCCCCCCCCCCCCCCCCCCCCCCCCCCCCCCCCCCCCCCCCCCCCCCCCCTCCCTCCTCTTCTCTCTCCCGTGACTAACATCTTTCCTGCAGTAGAATAGAAACTTATGAGAAAGGGTTCCATGATGTGCTGTAGTGCACTCAATAGCACTAACAGCCACGTTATTTGTCTTCTGCTATTGGTATTCCTCTGGTGGTATGATGTCCTGTAGTGAAACAATAGCAGAACACAAACTCCTTGTTACCCACCTCACGACAAAGTGTTTAGCCATGAGTTTAAGGGAAATGACTTCAAATTTAACCATGACAAAACTTAACCATGAGGGATACTTACAGGTTAACCTCACGGTTAAGTTTGTAATCCAGGAGGTTAAACCTCATGGTGAAGTTCTTAACCACCAGGTTAAACCTTATGGTTAAATGGTTAAGTTCTTAATCACGATGTTAAACCTCATGGTGAAGTTCTTAACCACGAGTTTAAACTTTAAACCTCATAGTTAAGTTTTTAATTACGAGATTAAAGCCCCACCATCATGAGGTTAAACTGCACGGTTAAGATGTTAAACCTCAGGTTTAAGTTCTTAACCATAAGGTGAAAGGGACATCCTTTAGAAACTGAACCATGAGGGACGCCCCAACGTGTCAAATTGCTGACAGTCACTAGGGGCAATCTGATGGTGAAACCAACACAGGGTATGTTGAAGCATCAAACTGTATTTTATAAATTGAAATTATAATACATATTACATACATTGTCCACCTTCTGGTGCGGGGTGGGTGAGTGAGAGTCTGCATCGATTTTTGCCACAGGTACCCGTGAGGGCAGCGGTTGGTGCCCACCTTGGAGGGGGGTATCAGTTGTTTGGTGGGTTCGTCGTTGATGCTTAAACCACCAGTACCCCCAAACCAGCCTCCCCGGACCTTGGTTTTAGCAAGCTACCGAACCTCTTCGTGTTTTGGGAATGCGGCTGGAAAGTGGTAGTGACATGGTGAGTGACCGGTCCTTCAACGCGAGAAGAGGTTAACAGAGTCCTAAATTTTCAGGACTTTTTCAGGGTCATTATAACAAACATTCCATACCTTTTACGCCAGACTTGTCACCAGTCCATAGAGTGGACACCAAATAAACCAACAGCAAAAAAAAAACTCAGAAGAAAATGATCAAAGGGGCCTTAAACGCCAAGACAAAAGTGTGTTTTCATGCAAAATTCACTCTTTTCAGTTTTCAGGATTTTCAGGATTTTTCAGGTCTGGCCAAAACAGTGAACTCCAAGGCCCCAACAAACACCAAACTTCAAGTTGGCACACACAGACCTTGACCAAAAATAAAACAGGGCAAAAAAAAAACAACCCAAAAAGAACTGGAAAAAATGATCTCCAATGCACTTTTCAGGGTTGGGGTTGTTACCTTGGGGCTGAATAGTGGGGGTCCCTGTTAACCTTTGGTGTTCGACGCTGGCGACCAGTATTTCTGTCCCAGTTGTTTCCTTTTTTTTCCCCCGTAGTTCTTTTGTCTTTTTTTCCCCCCCTTTTTTTTTCTCTATTCCTTTCGTGGCACGACTGCCAGAAGTCATCATTCTCATGGAGGGCCATGGTGATATTCGCTGTATAATTCTGTGTTCCAAGGGTAGATTCATTCTCGTTTTATCATTCTCGAAACTCGTGCAGAGAGGCAGCTTGCAGATCTTGTATGACGAGGGCCCTCGCTCCAATACTCAGCGCTAGGCACAAGCGACAAAAGCCGTGGCACCGTATCTCTCTTTTTTTCTCGGTTCTTTGGACCTCTCTGCACCATTCACGATATGCACAAAAGAGTTGAAAAGACCAAAAATGTAGCGGTGTATCTGCCCATGTTCTAGTTGCACATTTGGTGAGGAGTGCAGCCACGCCCTTTTTGGACACTATCCAAATTTGCAAAACGAGAATGAATCTTCCGTTAGAACATGAAACTATACATCGTCATATTTTTTGTCCTTTGTGCCTGTGGAGAGCAGTGGAGCAACACCCAATTTCTAGATTTATGCGTGTCATCCTTGCACAGGGCAGAAAGACCCCAGGCGAATCTCGTAGGAAGACGTACCAGCACAAAGGATATAAATCAATGCACTGTACGTCTGGCTTTTCTCTTTTTTTTTTTTTTTTTTTCTTCTTTTTTTTTTCTTACCATTTCTCGGTTCATCTGTGTCATCCTTCGAGCAGGGCCATACTGATCTTCTCTGTATTCTCCCGCACTCTAGCGAAGCTAAGCTATCCTTAAGGTTATGGGTGTGTGGGGATAATATGGTAGTAGTACTCAATTTTCCTAAATCTTGCTCCTCCTCTTGCAAGAAACGATAAGCTTTATTTGGGTCTGTTAATTATCTGGCAAGGAAGGGAATTTTTGTTTCCTCTCCTCCTCCTCCTCCTCCTCCTCCTCCTCCGGTAAGAATGGATAACCTCTATTTGCTTCTGCCAATCGTCTTCTGGGATAGTGGAGGACAACTACTTTTTTTTCTTTTTTTTTTCCTCGTCCTCTTTTTGCTTCAGAAAAGGATAAGCTCTGGTGTGACTCTGCTTACTCTCTGGCTAGAAATCTCCTCTCCCTGTCCCTCTTCTTCGTCTTCTTCTTCTTCCTCCTCCTCCTCCTCCTCCTCCTCCTCCTACTACTACTACTACTACTACTACTACTGCTACTACTACTACTACTACTACTACTCTCCCACTGGTATGAAGGGAGAAAGGATAGCTGATGTATGAAGAAAGAAAGGATATGTGGCTGTTCATTCTTTTGATCCTTCGATTGATTCTTTTGCAGGAAAATGATCAAATCGACCCGGCGCTCGGAAGGGCTTGTGTCATTGACCCAAATAGGTTGACAACAACAGACTGTGCTCTTCTCAATAAAACGGTAAGGGCGTTCAGTTTCTAATTGTCCTATGTAGTTTCGATCGATGGCCCTGATGCCCTCCCTCTGCTGTGAGGCAACTGTTCCTTCTCTCCCACGGGCCTCGGCCTTCTTTGCGGCCTGTGGCTCCACAGAGTCCGGTCACATACAAAGAATGAGGGTGTAGTACTCACACACGCACTTTACTTCATATATCTGACGCCAATTACGTGCAGACCAAGGTGAATCGGACTGCAATCGCGTCCAGAGCTTGGTTCAAAATGTCCTACTCGTGTGAGTACGGTATGAAGGAATCAGGAAAGGTCCCACAGTTAGCGTTTCCCTTCCTCTTGCTTGTTATTGATACTGTTTCCCCCCCCCCTCTTTGTTTTCCATTATGGATAGTGTTCTTCTTGCTGGTTTGTGATTTTACCCCTCTCTCGTGGATCGTGGATGCGCCCCTGTTGATTGATGGGTCATGTGAGATAGATTGATAAGAAAATTGGTGAGGAGTGAGGGGAAGAGTCTAGGGCTTTGGATTAGGTCTATCATCTATGATGATATACAGTCGGCAAAAGAGTTGAAAAGACCATTTGAAATAATTTGAAAAGAAAAACCAAAACTGCAGTGGACACGTTTCGGTCGTTGGTTGTTTGGATGTTGGTGTACTCTCGACATTTATCAAAGTTGTCGTCATCATCGTCATCATCGTCATCATCGTCATCATTGTCATCATCGTCATCATTGTCATCATCTTTGCATCATCATCATCATCGTAATGAGACAGATGTCTTCCTCGTTTTTGTAGGCTAGGCACATCATCATCACTGGAAGATTCAGAATGGATTGGGAAGACAGCAGAACTGCTGGCAAGTGAGATAGGAGTCTAGGTCCATAGGAGCTGTGTGTAATATGATCTTCATTGCAGACCTGTTGTAGCTATAGGAGTGTAGGTCCGTAGGAGTTGTCTGTTAATGGTCTGGGCACCGAGAGCGGTATAGGAGAGAGCTATATTGTTGACATTGGTGATTGGTGGCGAGATGGGGGCTTTCATTATCGTGCGACTTCCAACGCGTTGCTCGTACTCGTTTGGTGTAATCTCGGTGCGCAATCTGCTTTCAATTCGTGCTCAAATTTATCCGGATGTCCCCGGAATGGTGCGATCTGGTTTATTTTGTCATTCGAATTGCTCATTTGCTTGCATGTAATGGTATAAGTTATAATATTTAATATTTATATATTTTTTTAAAGCTCCCCGGTTTTGTTCGGATCAGGCAGGATGTGATGTTTAAGGCTTTAAGCTGTATTTGGGGCAACTTAAGAGTCTAGAATCTAGAAGAGTCTAGAATCTAGATAGAGCAGTAATGAGCCTATGTTTATCAGTACATCTAGGTGTGTAGTATATCTAGAATTACCGTCTTCACCTGAATACAGAATACGCTGTACGCCGTACGGTCATTATTGCTGTATCTAGACTCTATGTTGCCCAGGTACAGCTACAATCATCGTACGTTGTATTTGGGTGAAGACGGGACTGATCAATAGATTCAATACTCTATAATGTACGGTTCATGCACAAGCCAGGTGCAGGAAACTGTCATCCTGACTCATCCTCCTTTCAGTATATTTTATTTCAATAATAATTAATTAATTAAGTTAAATTAACTCATAATTATTAATTTTTAATTATGGCTGTAATAGACAGGGATTAGACACTGATAGCTGGGCCTCTTGTGATCTATTGATGCAGGTTGAAGCTTTCCAGTGCAAGGAGTTCACTTGCCTTGGGGGGTTCAAAAACATCCGCACCGTCTTCGAATGGGAAGGCCTCACGCTTGAGCTTGATGAGACGCAGGTATGTATATTCTCACTTGGAATTTTTTCGAATGAGCTCTGGACGTGATTGTAGTCAGATGCATTCAGGTCCGGCCGTGGTTGTGGGTAGATACATTCAGGAGCAGAGTGCTCCTGCGAGTACACCCTCAATTTGCGGGCAGATACATTCAGGAGAGTGCTGGTGAGCTCGCATTCAGGAGAGTGCTGGTGAGCTCGCTTCCAGAATTTGCGGGCAGATGCATTCAGGAGAGAGTGCTGGTGCTGCTGCGAGTACACCCTCAACTTGCCGGCAGCACTCTCCTCCAGAAACTCATTCAGAAACTCATTCAGAAAATGATGCCCTCAAGATGTTTTTGTTTTCTGAATGAGTTTCTCTCTCTTTTGTCACTTGCGAGGTAATCTTGCGAAACAAACAAGCAGACAATGTCCTTGCTGTCTGTCGTATGTGAATAGGTAAAGTGTGTTTAAGGATTGAGCTTCTGCTGTCTTTTATTGTTTTTTTTTTTGTTTTTTTTTTTGTTTTTTTTGTTTCTTTTGTTTGATGGAAACTCTGGTGGCCACACATGATATGAACTTTGTGTCTGTGAAGATCGAGCTCTTTTTCTTCGACTTTTTTTTTCTTTTTTCTTTTTGTTTCTGAAACTGTGGGGCGGTAGTCCGGTTGCTTGTCAGCGGCAAGCATGAGTACAGAAAAAAGAAAAGCCCTTGCGGCCCTAGTCGCCTATTCAAGGGGGGGACTGCTGCAGACCGTCCCCCCCCCAAAACCATGGCCTCCCCTGGGGCTCTTTTTGCTAGCCGGGAAGCTTAGTGGCAGCACTCAGTCACACAACAGAAGGGCCCCAGGGGGGGCAGGGCGTGGGGGAGGCGCTTCCCAGCAGTCTCTCAGGCCGCATGTCTCTAGCTCTCCTCATCCCTGCAAACTCAAAACAGTATTCTAATACCGTTTGTATCCCGTGGTCCTCGTACCCGTTCCATCCCCCCAAAGTTGTTTTCCCTATCTGCCTGCTTCAATGCTTCTAATCCACCTCCCAGCGTCCCCTCTCTCTTGGCGGACTCCCTTCCTGCCCTAGTTCACTGTCAAGCCTGCTGTACCATGTCCTCACCGCCATCAGGAGTGCTCACCTCCCTTTTTTCCCCTTTTCTACTGTAAATCCTCCCCTCCCCTCCCCTCCCTCCCGCCTACCCCCCGGCCCCAAGAACATACCCCAATTCCCGTCCCCCTGCCCATCCTACCCACCCCTATCGTTCTACCTATCGACCTCCTTTTCCTATTATGATACATCCTACACCTCCCCTTCTCTCTCTACCAACCCACTTTGTTAGCTACCATTACTAACTACTTTACAAAGTGTCCTCCGATCTTAGGGCCTGGTCCCCCCTCAGTTTGCAGCCCAGGCACGTGCCGCAGCAGGGTGGGCCGAAGCGCATCTGGCCCGTGCAGGGGTCTCGGGTCAGCAGCTGCAGATACGGGCCCCATCTCTCCCAGGACTCATTATCCTTGTGTTCCCCCGTACGTCTGCATTGATGGAAATCCGCCATCAAAGCTATCCTGATGTTTTCCAGTGCTCGCTCCTGATATGCCCGCAGCGGCGGAGGAGTCACTCCTTGCCTAGACAGTTCGTTCCTCAATGTCCACAGGACGACAAGGGCCATAGCACTGCGGCTCTTATGATCTCTTCAGCCATCAAGTCCCCAAACCCCAACCCGTCAACCTTCATCAGCACTCCCAGAAGGATAGCCGCATCGTTCGTCATCATTCGTCTCCGTGACCATCAGCGGCACCTTATCTGCAAGCGCCCACCACTCCCAAAAGAGGACCGGATCACCGGGCATCCCACGAAGAGGTGGGGGGCGGTTTCCACTTGGCCGCACCCTGCAGCACATGTCTGATCTTTGAGGCGGCGTTTGGTGGCTTGCCATCGTGCTGTCGGGATTGCCAGGTGGTAGATTTGCCACAGCAGGCCCTCCTGCTTCTGGTCGGGCATGGCTGGCAAGATAGCGCACTGCTCGTTCCACCTTCGCTGTGTCCACCTAAAAAGGACATGTCTGGGAGCCAGTCCCTCTTAGGACCACGCGCCTTCAGTTCCCCACAGATGTCCGTCGTCTCCAACAGGGATTTTGTTTTAGATAATCTTTGTAGTCACTTCCTGCAAGGGCATGGCTCTTCTATGCATCCTCTGGGGCGGCCATTCCCACTCCCTCGGATCCCACGTTAGGTCTCGCACTCTGAAGGCCACCCGGTACGGCAGATATTGGCCCTCTCCCTTCTTGCCCCCTTCACAAGCCACCAGTGTCTCCACCATGTCTCTCGCCAGCCGTCTCTCAGCCCCCCCTACCTTGTGTCCTTCCTGCCGGGGTTCTCACAACCCATCTTATCCCAAGCCTGGGTTCATTTGCCATCCTGTGACCTCTAATCCCCCATCAGGCAGGGTCTGTTCCACGCTGTACGCTCTCTCCGGTGTCACGCCTCCCTTAAACTTCACCCACTCCGCTGGCATTATTTCATCTTTTTTTAGCAATTACATCCACTGAGGGGGAGTCGCCTCTCTCAGTTCTCTCACCCTCTGCCTTCTCTTCATTCGCCCGTCCAGGGACGCCTCCGTTTCTTTTTCTGTTCGCCAGTCCTTCCGCCGTTCATCCCACAAATGTCCCACCTTATAGATCCCCTGCTCTGCCCACTTCCACCCATAAGCTCCTCGCGCTCCCTTCCATGGGAGAGTGGCTCCCCAGCGTCGTTACAGACGAACCGGTTGCCGAACAGCAGCTGGTTATAAACTGCATCTGCAGTTTTTTCAGCAGCCGGCACCTTACCTGAATCTTTTTCCACAGTGCCAGCTTCGTGGCCCATACTGTGCCCCTGTGGAAATGGTTTGTTGCCGCGCTGCTGATCATACATAGGCCCACCACTTCCCTGGGCACCTGGAGCGAGTAGGCTAGGTGGGACAGAGTCACCTCTTGCCAGGTGCCTCCCTCTGTTCGTAGCAGGGCCCGGATCACCTGTCGTAGCTTCAATACGATGATCTGCAGGCGCGGGTCCAACACGCTTACGCCACCAAATCTCTGCATTATGGGACCCAGTTTGTTCCAGGCAACTCTGCAAATGGAGTCATCAGCCTCTGCACTATGGGACCCCAGGTGGGGGTGGACTGCCTTCCTAAGGTACCGAAACGTGCGCCTCCTCTGCATGTGCACTGCGACCGCGTCCCACAGCCCGGTGCCTTAAGCCGTCAGGAGGAGGGTCACAAAGAAGTTGCAAAAGTCCTTATACAGCTCCACCAGCATGCCATCCAAACCGGGTGCCTTAAGCCTCGGGAGCTCTGCCATTGCTCGTTCCTCGGCATCTGGCCAGATAACCCCATCCAGTTTGCAAGTGCTTTCGAGATCAAGCCGCCTCTGCACGTGTCTCCATACTTCTTGTTCCGGTACCTTGGGCATATCCGCTGACGACTACCATTAGTCCGTCAACAGTTGGCGATAGAAGTCCGTGACGCACTCGAGTATTCCTCTTGTGGTGTGCTGTCTCTCCCCCTGCCCCGTCGAAGGGGTGGTCCATGGCTGTCATCACTGCCATCGCTTTGCGGGCGCCCACCGGAGCCGAGGATTGACGCGACATTCTCGCCCCCACCAAGCGCCACGCCTCCTTCATGCGCCTCTTTTCCTCTTTCCTTCCCCCCCCCCCCCCCCCCCCCCCCCCCCCCCCCCCCCTCTTACAAAGGTGAACACGCAGAATGATGCGCAGCATGCTACCTATTCACAGGAAATGCTTAGCGACTCAAGAGAACCTTGCCTGTTTAAAAGGGGAGGAAGGAGGGGGGGGGGGGTGTTGAAAAACCGCATGGTGGTATGGTATGGGTGAAATGTGGTGCAACTGACTTCCTTCAGTTTTCATGCTGGCACGTTTAAATATTTCATTGGTTAAGCAGGCCACTTCACTGTCAGCGGAAGGTGGTGGGCTCGATTCCTGACAGGGTGGCTTAGATTAATTGAAGTGTGCTGTCACAAGTGCCTTCACTCACTAATTACTAGTTACTAATTAGTAATTAAGTGTGCTGGCACAAGTGACTTGCTTCACTTTTCATGCCAGCGCGCACTTAAATAATTCATTGGTTAAGTAGGCCGGTTCATTGTCAGCAGAAGGTGGTGGGTTCGATTCCTGACAAGGTAGCTTTGACTACCTTCTTCCCCCAAATACAACGTACGGTCATTATAGCTGTATTTGGGGCATCTTTCAGTCTAAATACAGCTATAATGACCATACGTTGTATTCGGGGGAAGAAGGTAGTTAAGTGTGCTGTGGTGAATGGAACATGAATTAGGTTGTACGGCAGTCAAAAAGTGTGTATCGGTGGCTATGTGTGTTTGCGAGAAAATGAGACTTTTCACAATTCAGTCGGATAGGGAAACGGGAGATGACGATTCTCAGACTTCTCTTTGTTTTTCTTTTGCTTCCCTTTTCCTCCCCCCGCACCATCTCTTCATACCTAACTCTACCATCATTTTGCTTTCTCATGTCTTCATCTCTCCTCTCTGTAGAGTACGTACACTACCCGGGCTACACCCACCAAACCGTGCCTCTCTAACCCGACACTATGGAGGCCCCCCCTACCCCATTTATCAGCCCTGATTCATGCAGCTACTATGGTATGGTAACAGCAGTTGTCTTCATGATGGCAAGGTGTCCGTTCTCCCTTATTTGGATAAGCCCCCAAGGCGTCCTACCTCTCTCTCTACCCTAACTCATGGGGTAGGTTTGCACAGCAGCCAGCGGGTTGGTGGAAGGAGCGAAAGCTGCACCAGGCCCTCGTAAAAAAACTCGATGTGAGACTTGGGCAGAGGTAAAGCACCCAGCGGGTTGGTGGAAGGAGCGAAAGCTGCACATGGGTAGTCACTGCCCCTCGTCAAAAAGCGGAAATTGTAGGCCGGGTGCAGGGAAAGGGTAGGTGCAGCAAACAGGTAGAGTGCTATTGGTGTCGAGCAGTGCGGTGGTGGCCAGTCGCTGCACCTACCCTTTCCCCTGTACCCGGCCTACAATTCGGGAAACCAAACAAATTAAAACTTGACTTTGAAATTTGAATAGATCATATCGTCGTTGCAGAGCACCGAACAATATTGACTAAGGTCTCGCTAATGCTGGCGTGGGTAGGCAGCTGCAGCAGGCTTATCTCTAAGATGGTAGGGGGCCCAAACATGGCCAGGCATATACGTGAGCATCATGAGAGCAATGGGAATTGAACCCACGAGCTCTTGAATGCAACTTGTGTGCCTTACCCACTAGGCTACACCCGTTGACTTTCTCTTTCTTTTTTTCTTCTTTTTTAGCTACACCCGTTGACTTTCTCTTTCTTTTTTTCTTCTTTTTTATTCGGACAATTTTCAAGTGACCGGTTTTCGCTTCTTCTTCTTCTTCTTCTTTTTTAAGAAAAAGTTTTATTAGGGCCCAGTGCCCAAGGCAATATCCACAGTATGAAAGGAGGTCCAGATTCAGGGACCTCAAGGTCTCCAATCCTTCTCCGTGAGGTGGAGCCCCTCCCCTGTATTTTGTGTGTTGTGTTCTCCCTTTTCTTTCGCTCTTCGTTCCTGCCGGAATCTGCCCTGTATTTTGTTTCCTGTTTTTTGTTTTATTAACTTTTATAACTTTTATTGGATTCTCAGTGTGAATTGGCAACACTCTAAGAGTTGGAGACCTGCACCTTTCTTTCTTTCTTTCTTTCTTTTTTTAAAAAAAATCAAACGACGGCTTTTCGCCTGTTCTTTTTTTTTCTCTCTCTTTTCATTTGTACCTTTGATTCGGCCTGATTTCGTTTCTTGTTTGTCATTTTTCTTGGATTCTCAATTTTTCAGTATGACTTTGGAACATTTTACGAGTTGGAGTGTGAAAGTACAGAGCCTGAGGTCGCACGCGAAAAGATGTAAGTATTAACTACCATTAAGGACTACGTTCGACGAACTCATTTAACGAAGCCTTGGTTACTTAGTAGTTACCAGAGTAGCCCGGGACCATGGGCCAAAAGTGAATTTAAAAAAATAAATAAATAAAAAATCAAATTTCACGTAAGTTGTAAATGCAAGGAAAATGAGCGGGGGCGATAGACAGAAAACCAAATTGCAATATCGCTCTGTAGTCGAGATAGTTGTGTTCCAATAGAAAGCACAATCCAATCCAATGCACCGACTCACCGAGATACAAGCCAAATAAGAGCACAATACAACTTCAAGCTTTTTTTTTTTTTTTTTTTTTTTTTTTTTTTTTTTTTTTTTTTTTTTAGAAGTTGAATGAACGCAAATGTCAACGTTGACTCTCTCTAGCCACCGCCAACAGTGTCTATCTAGTGACCGCCGACAGTGTCTCTGCTCAGTACCTACTCTAGCCCACCACTTTTAAGTGTATGCAACAGAAGTCACTTCAAGCTGAAGACCAATGTACGTGACGACGTCGCCAATGCAGAGTGCTAGCATAGAGCAGGTACGTGGTACATGTCTCTTGTCTCCCCTTCACTCATATCCTCCTCGCCACATGTGCGCCCTCAACCCAAGAGCACCATCGCGGATGCTTGCTCGCGCGCGGCCAGCCTGGCTATCGCTGCCGTGCGGCCGCGTGCGTGCTCTGGTCGCCGAGTGCCCAGGCAGCCAGTCTGCGCTCGATGCAGCAGCATGACCTGCCCAGACTTGCGAAGTCAGAATGTGCCCTCCCTGGGAGAGGCACTTTCCTACGTCTCCCTGGGAAAGTGCAGCCCCGTGTCGGGCTGCCTGGGCCTGGCGTACGTGTGCCCAGTAGCTTCACATTGGGCCAAAGTGTGGGCACCCAGGCCCATTCAGACAGTTGCCTGGGCCAGCAGCAGTGAAGGTGGCCCCAACTGTGTGACGTGGCTGCTGTCACTCGCTGCATTTTCATTGGGCTACGGGCCTCCAGCCACATCGCTGCCTTGCTTCCCATGCCCCGAGAGCCTGGCGGAAACGTGTTCCTTCTCCTATTCCCTTTTTCCCTTCCCCTCCTACTCCCTGACCATTTTACGCTGCCTGCTGCTCTGTCTGCGCACTCGTTCCGTCTTTCTAGTACTTCACATAGTCTAAAATTCTCTAAATGCGTGACCCTTGTCTGCAGCCTGTGCCCTCTCCCGCCCCTCTCCCGCACTTCTTTCCATCTGATCTGTCCTCCTCCCCGTACCCTGACCATCCTCTTTCTCCTGCGATTTGTGGAAAAGCTTCTAGATTAGCAAAGGGAGTTAAAACTTTTTAAGTTGTTAAACAGTTAAACACATCAAGAGTCAGCTTTCTTACTATGTATCCAAGCTCTTGCGCATGAAGCCATCCCAATAGGCGATGGTCCCATACCGGTGGTGAGGCTGAAACCGGTAGGGACAATCGCCAATAGGCTTTCGTGTAATACTCTTATTTTTTTGGGGAAAAGAAAGCCATTTTGGGATTTTTTTGCACTTTTTTTCTGTGTCTCTCATCTGTCTCTCTCTCTCTCTCTCTCTCTCTCTCTCTCTCTCTCTCTCTCTCTCTCTCTCTCTCTCTCTCTCTCTCTCTCCCGTGTCTCCCTTTCCCGCATGTTGAAAAAAGTAGTGGTCTTTTCCCGTCGGGTTTTCACGGCCGTTTTCCTTTCTTTCTTTTTTGGGTTTCCTTTGTTTTTATGTTGACTTTTTTTTTTTTTTTTTTTTCCTGGTGTGCTACAGTGGCTGAACGGCCATGCACATTAGCGACCTCTGTTCGAGGCGGCGCGTTAACGCCCGCGTCGGAGCAAAATAGCTGGGTGAGGTACTGGTGGTTCAACTTTATTTAAACGGGCGATCGCATCAGGATTGTGTGAAGTCATTCAGCCATCTGGGCTGGTTTTTGTGTCAGCATTTTGTTAGGCGATATTATGTGTCATATATAATTTTTCTTTATAAAAAGTTTGTAATGCTTAAATAAATTAAAATAATACTTTGCAATAAAAAGTTTGTAAATTTTTCTTTATAAAAAGTTTGTATTGAATAATTGAATCTATTGATGAAATTTGTAGGCGGACGTCGGCATTTTTTTAGGCGAGATTTTGTTGTGAGATAAATTTGTTTGCACTTTGAACAAAGCTGTCGCCCTAAAAAAAAAAAAAAAAAAAAAAAAAAAAAAAAAAAAAAATGAGGGCAAACATTCGAGTGAAAGGTGGGAAAAACTGATCTATAAACTGTGACGGTCCTTGTTGTTTTTTGAAATGCCAGAGAGGGATTTCTGGAGGCGAACGGAATAGCGTACTCTTACTCCACGGAGACCAAGTTTGCAATCTTTATACAAAGCAAGATGAAGAAGTCACGTCAGTAGGGGAAAGTAGCTTGTTTGTTTGCTTTTTGTTTTTGTTTTTTTAGTTGGGTCCGTCTTTCTGTTTTTTGCATGGTGTTTCTAGCAGAAAGTTTTTGAAAACATTTGAGCGGAAAGTTCTAGCAGAAAGTTTTTGAAAAAAGTCCGCGCGGAAAGTTTCTACCTAGCAGAAAGTATTTGAAAAAAGTTCACACAGAAAGTTGTAGCAGGATGTCCGCTGACAGTTCCGGGAAGTTTCAGAAGAAAGTTCCAAAAAGTTGTTCCAGAAGTTGTCAGAGCTAGGAATGAATGTTGCTTACGAAGGAGGCCAGGTGAGGACCAGAGGATGGCTGTTGGATTTATTTCTTGGCTGTGTGGGACATGCTTTGAGGAAGTGGTAAGTAGACATGAAAACTTGAAAAGCGGTCTCGTTAAGGCATTGGCAGCAGTGACGCCAAAATCTGTATTTTTTCAGACTATTTCTATGAAAGGACACAAGTGGTAGCAGATTGTAGCAAAAGATAAATGGACTCTTTTGTGAGACTATTATCTTCACCCAAAGACAAATACAATGTACGCATTGTACGGTCATTATTGCTGTATCTAGACTCAAAGTTGCCCACCATACAGCTACGTACGTTGTTGTATTGGGGGGAAGAAGGAAATGGTGGGGTTGTTTAACTCTCTCAAAGAGAGTGCAGATGAGCACTCACTCTCTGTGGCACCGCATCCTGAAAGTGTGAAAAATTGCACACCAGTGTGTTATGCCTTCCAGCAAGGATGGTAGGTGACACTGTAAGCGAGTCTTTCTGATCTGGATGCAAAGGGCTGATGTTGAATCCCAATTCATTAAATTTGTGTATATGTGTAAAGTGTGTATGTACACTGTAAGTGAGTGTGTGTGAACTGGGTGTGGGTGTGAACTGGGGGCGGGTGCGAAGTCTGTGTGCAAATTGTCTGTTTAAACTTTAAAGTGTGCATTAGTTTGTGTGTGAAGTGTGTGGGTAACGTACGTGTGTGTGTGTGTGTGTGTGTGTGTGTGTGTGTGTGTGTGTGTGTGTGTGTGTGTGTGTGTTGCATACTCGTGAAACACAGTCATAAGTATGGCGCAGATTCCCAGAACGGACCAGATAATACAGAGTTAATANGTGTGTGTGTGTGTGTGTTGCATACTCGTGAAACACAGTCATAAGTATGGCGCAGATTCCCAGAACGGACCAGATAATACAGAGTTAATACAAATGCAAGCGGAAGACTTGAGATACCTTGGATTGACTCGGACCTGACTCGGACTGCAATCGAACACTCTCAAACATTCATCGGGGGTGTGAATGCCCTGGCCTCAGACATAGACGAAGGGCCAGGGACTGAGATCATCCACGGACGAAGGGGGAGAGGAGAGAGACGAAGAAGAGGAGAGGGAAGATGACGTCAACTCAATGTTTCCAAAGATAGTATCTTGAACTGTCAGAAGTGACGAAAATCCGAAATGTCGCGAATGACAAGTCTCACAATATCCCAGATGTCGATCTCACAATGTCAAGTACATCTCCGGAAGGAAGATGAAATCAGATCCGTAGTCCCAATGTCGCTGTCTCAGACGTCATCAGAACTCGTAGCCATCTCCCATACTGCAGTAGTCCTGTAGGAGAAGTAGAAGTAGACTTAGAAGGTAGGAGGAGAGAGAGAGAGAGAGAGAGAGAGAGAGAGAGAGAGAGAGAGAGAGAGAGAGAGAAGCGGKAGAGGAGAGGAGGGAGAGAAGGCGAAGCCTTCCTCCCTGGTACCTGGCTATGGCGCTGCAAAGGGGGGCTGGGCCGGTAACTGGCGATGCGCCCAGTGCTGCGCTAATCCGCTCTCCTCTGAACCTTGCTCCCTTGCTGCTCCTCGCTGCTGCAGCGCTGCTGCTGAGCTAGTCCTGAAGACTAACCCCGTCCATACTAACCCCCTACTGAGGCTGGTACCCAGCCTTTTGTAGTGCTGGGCCGGCCTCCTACTCACTGGTACCTACCGGCCTGGACCGTTGATCCAGATCAACGGTCCAGTTTTGAAACTGGTTGGYGCCTAAACTGTGGCAGCCTCTGAACGGCTGTCGGTGGGTCCTTGGCTGGACCGGTACCGGCCTTGTGGCCGTTTGGCCTGGGCCTGCCTGAACCGCCGTGGTGCAGGCCCATCTGGCCTCATCTGAACCGTCGTCCCCTTAGGCCTATCCTGCCTGTCTGGAACCGGGACCTAACTGGGGCCCGTGTGGCTCAGTTTTGCCCCAGTGTGTGTGTGTGTGTGTGTGTGTTTGTGTGTGTGTGTGTGTGCGTGTGTGTGTCCACTGATGCAAAATGCAGAGTCAAGGTCCAAAGTACATTTTTTTTTAAGTATATCCCATCAAGTTGGAGGGGTACGAAAAGGGTGTGGGACTATTGCGCCAAACCGTAAGTGGGAGTAACGTCAATGCTTCACAGACCTGAACGATACAGCACAGAAAGAGCACAGGAGCAGTGACTGTTTTGTTGGTCTCTTTGTGGACTAATGAGGAAACTGAACCCCCAGTAGTCTGCAGAATCCCTTGAGGATGTTTGAGTCTTAACCTGCTTCAGTCCCTGTTGCAAGTTGGGCGAACACAGCAAGGTACTGGGGGTTTCTGCGGACTACTGGGGGTTCAGTTTCCTCATTTGTCCGCAAATAGGGAAGACTGTGTTATCAAGCGGGCGGGGAGGCAAGTGCGGGGGCATAGCATACAGCAACACAGCAAGGTACACAGAGCAGGATACACATACTAAGGAGGAGCTAATAGCAGAGCAAAGTGGGTGGACAAGTGGGGCTTAGGCGCGCAGGACAGAGAGGTTGGCACATGGCAACGGTGCAACGAGACAACAGCCGGCCAGGCGAACATGTAAGTGGGCGGCCGGCCGAGCACACAGCAACATAGCGAGTCATGCAAGAGCGACAAGAAAAATAGCAAAATACCCACAACACGGCGACGATCAAAGGGGACTATTACGGTACTCGGGTCATGTGGAGAAATCTGCAGACTGTAGCTTCACACCACGAGGAAGAGGCAGGGAGCCACAGTGTCCATCACCTTGATGAAACATGAATCACAGGTATCCATAACACAGCAGGCCCCCGAATGGTGTTGCACAGTTGCAGCCTTGCAGGCACTTACTATTCGGTTCTCCACTGACTATTTGGCACATCTTGAAGGTGCTGCGACAAGGAAGAGGGCAGAGAGAACGGTCGAACAAACAATGTGAATGTGTGTGTCTGTGTGTTTGTCATATTCGCTATACACTAAAAAAATCCATTACTGTGCCAGACTGTTTCGCCGCACTTTCACCAACTCGTCAGGAGGTTGAACCGGGACAGAAGGCTGGCCAGGATGCATTGACTGATGGATAAGCACTCACCACATCGCCCTGTGTGTGTGTGTGTGTGTGTGTGTGTGTGTGTGATGTGTGCTTCAATGCACCCATGGCAAGTTTTACTATGCCAGGTATGATCTCCGATGACAGGTCATCGGCACACCTCTAGCTTAGGTATTATTCGCAAGTGTGGTAGACATCATCTATTGTGGCGAGAACGGCATCTACTCATGTTTTCGAGTACTTTCAGGCAAGGCGGGTAGGGCGAGCGGACAAACCACATATCAACAAAACAGACTTAAAAAAAGGAGGGTGCCAAGGCCTGGCGGGTCAAGGGAGAGTAGCGCACCGACCCTTTACCCTCTTGCTGGTGAGATTGCGAGCAGACAGCCCGCAAGCAACCCAGCAAGAAGACCACACCTCAGCAGACCAAACAAACACACCAAAAACATTAACTGAAAAAAAAATATATTAACTGAAAAAAATAGAAGCTGATGATGACTGTTTCGTCGGAATTGCACCGACTCATCAGGAGGCTGAACCCTCGACAATCTGCGGCATCCCCAGTTTTTGGATGCGTGAGGTCATGAAACCTTTGACCCCTGTTGAAGGCAGGTTGCCCACAAACGAAACTCGGCAGCAGCGAGTGACGCCGTTGTGAAGCACCGGGCAACACACTCAATGTCAGTGCACTGCGCAACACCAAAGACGACTGCAAGCAGAAGACAACATCAGTGGAGATGAAGCAAGGCACCCGTTTGGGGGGCAAACAAGTCCACACCCAAACGACAACCATCCGACACGCCACTAACGAAAGGACCCCAAATGGCAAGGCACCCGAATGGGCAGCCTGGAGGCAGCATAACGACGCACAAGGCACCACCAGCAATACATCCAAGCCACAAAGTGAACACAACAGCACAGATTGGACACACGCAAAGCAAGAGGGATGGGCAGCAAGACAACGGTGGAACGCAGACAGCACAAGGCAGCCCACACATCCAACACAGAGCCAAGCAACACATGACCTACCCGCATCACGGGTGAACACCGCAGACTGTTGGTTCCCACCACCCAATGAGCCAGGGAATCACTCCGACGGACATCCATCATCACCCACAGGCAAGCAGCTGAGCAACCGTGCAGCGGAGCGAGGCACATCGCAAGGCTACCAAACCACCAGGCACGCGAGCAAAAAAACACGGGAGGCACGCCCCGCGCGTAGTCGGCAAGGCAGCAGAGCAGTGAGGACGACCTGAAAAGCAAGCGGCATGGGCAGCAAGACCGTGGCAGAGCGCAGACAAGGCAGTCTACACATCCAACACGGAGCAAAGCAKCACATGACCTACTCACATCACGATAGAACCCCGCAGACTGTTGGTTCCCACCACCCGCTGAGCCAGGGGAACACGCCGACGACCATCGGTCATCACCGACAGGCAACACAGACAACTTGAACCTAGCGGTCCCCCTAAGAGTGCAGTTGGCACTCCAAACGATGAACCACCGACTGTTTAGCACTGCTAGGGGGTGCTCGGCTAGAGACAAACGTACTTAGAACAAACATAGAAAAGAAAAGAAAGACAAACATACCAAAAACAAGGACAAACAAACTTTTATAAAATTGATTGTGTGTGTGTGTGTGTGTGTGTGTGTGTGTGTGTGTGTGTGTGTGTGTGCGCTAAACACAAGTGCACAAAAGAAGGTTAACTACTGTGACAGTATGTTTTGTCGGACTGTCACCACCACTAAAGAAGGGTGATTCTGATGGACTGGACGGAAGTGGTGGTGATGTCTGTCGGACCCAGCAGATCAAAATTCAGTCCAGATACAGATCCTCGTCCAAATTATTGCCAACTTCCAGCACACCCTTGTTTGAATAGCAAGGGTGTTAATGGAAGTTGGCAACAATTTTCACGAGGATCTGTATCTAGACCGACTTTTCACGAGGATCCGTACCTAGACCTCCATTACCGGCCGGGGCGCCCATGTCAGGTCCTACCGGCCTGGTTTCCGCCCGGCTGGCCCAGCCTGCCGGCTCTCCCAGACTGGCTACCGGGTGGTCCAGTGCGAATTCGAGCAACGTGATTGTGTGTGTGTGTGTAGAGAGAGAGAGAGAGAGAGAGAGAGAGAGAGAGAGAGAGAGAGAGAGAGAGAATTTTCCTAATAGCTGAGGAGTGGAACTGCACACTAGATGCTCTGACTGCCACAGCCCCTGGAACATCAGACACAACTCTGTTATTAGAGTTTATGAAATCAATCTTGCAAATTCATACTCAAACATGCATGCAACAGATGAGAATAACTTGGCGCTGTGCACCCAACTCAAACTCGGAGATATGGTAGCTTGCAACTCAACTCAAATCCAAGTTTACTTCAGTTGACTATGGCGCTGGGCGCCCDCACTTACACGTTCGACTCAGAGTTCATACGCAACTCGACTCCGGATCACCCTGGATACCATGCACGCCAACCACTGCACACACACATACACACTCACTAACTGTCTATGGCTATGGCGCATGGCCACTAACAGCTAACTAGCCTATCACTAACTTCTGCCCACTTCGTCTTCAGGCCATCTGCAGACCTCCCTTACACAAGACGCCTGAACAGCGCTTCCGCAGAGCTTCCRCAGGAATGAATGAATGGCTGGACGCAGCCTCTTGATTTATACTTCTGCGCAGCTCCGATTTGGCCTGTATTCTCTGGCCCCGGTACCCTTAGCCCCATATGGTACTTGCTGGACCGGACAGGGACTTTCTCGACTGCACTACGACTCACCTACGACTCACTGCAGTCCTACTGAGGTCCTACCAGTTGACTTCAACAGATGTCACAGTCCTACGGCGCAAGTAGACTTAGCTACACCACTTGCCCACTGGTCGACCTTCTAGAAGACCTCTGGACCCTACTTCGATTTTTGCCCTACAGGTCTGTGGTTCGAATCCCTTACTTCTCTGGTGCCTACGATGACCTACCTGCAAGTGGCTATCCTACAGGTCACAGG